TCCCTACGCGCGAGAGTCCTCAGACATGCCTGCTTCCCGGCCCGCCCACTCCCTGGGCATCACATCCATTCCTGCGGCTTCAGTTTCTGCCCAGCTCAAAGGCCTGCTGGGTCCACTGTGCCCTGGACTCCCAAGGTCCACCCCAGGCCAACGGACTGAAATCGAAGCACACGGCAACCAGGGGTGGTGAAGGGCACCAGCGCGTGTTCTGGGAGAGTGAACCATGGGCTCCAGTGTGACTCAGACCCAGGGAGGTTGAGCACATGGAGCTCCCAGCAGGGAGCGGGGGCACCTTCCCAACTCGGGCCACACGCCCCTTAGGTGGGACCAAGGAGCCCCCACCACAGAAGTTAGCATTGTAATTCCAGCTTTCTTAACATTCAACCCTGCTGCTTTAAGACGGAATGAAGGGCGACCACAGATGAGACCGTCCACACCCACCACCAAGCCAGGCCCAGGAGGGCGTGCTGAGGCCTCCACACGGGCAGTCTAGGCTGGCCATGATGGAGACCAGTGCCACGAGGGAGAGGGCTCGGCAGGAGAGGGGCACCGGGACACAGGGAGGGCGAGAATGGCCTGGTCATTTGTCCGGAAATGCGTGGTGGGGTAGAGACGACGAGGAGGAGGAAACCCACAGGCACAGCTCTCCTAGCCGCCAGAGCGAGAGCGAAAGTCAGGAAGGACACGCGCTCGGGACCTGCCACAGCCGCACGCATCTCCAGGACGTGGGGACAGTCCCTGGGAGGTCTCGAGGCCGTCCCCAGGGTGGGCTCCACAGGGCTCATGCTTCCTTACCACAGAGCAAGGGGTTAGAGTGCAACTGAGACGGTGATGCAGTCGAAAAGACGCCTCCAGAGTCCCCGGGTAAAGACAGCAAGATGGAAAGGGGTGCGTTTTAAATGAAATCTTATTAGTCAATATTAAGTCAGGGGTCGGAGCGGCCGACAGCCGGGTGGTCAAGGGAGCTGGATCCCACGTGGCCCCTGTGCAGTTCGAGTCCTGGACCCTGTGGCTGGAGAGTGAGGGCCTGTGCACCTGCCCCAGAGTGGGGGGAGGAGGGGTGAAGAGGGGCAGGGAGGGCTGCAGCGTGACCCTGCCCCGCGGCTGCCTTCTCCTCTCCCTTGCTCTTTCCTTTCTGGCTCGTGCATGTACCTTTTGGCAAATTAAAAACAAAAAGTCTTGGGGGAGTCAACAGGTGGCATGGTGGTGAAGGTGCTGGACTCCCACATGACCGACCACAGTTCAAGTCCCAGACTTGGCGGCTTGCTTTCTCACTTTCTCTCCCTCCCTTTCTCTAGTGAGTGCATGCGCTCTACAGCAAACTTAAAAGTAATAATAGGCAGAAAATAATAATAAAATGAAAAAAAAATAGAGACCAGCAGATGGCATGCTGATCGTGTAGCCGACCACGATCAAGTCCCAGACTCAGCAGCTTAAGGCTCACGCCAGGTGCGTGTGTGTGCCCAAGATCCCGAGGAGAGAAGGGAAGAGAGGAGATTGCAGCATGGCCATCTCCCTGGGGGGTGATTTCTCACTCTCTGTCTCTCTGGTAAGAGCATGTACCCTATAGCAAAAATCTTTCAAAAATATACATGTACATAGCAAACAAGTAATTCTTTTAACAAATCTTGGGGGTGGAACCAGCAGTTAGCGCAATGGCTATGTCGCTGGACTCCCACGTAGTCGACTGCGGTTTGTGTCCCAGACCCGGTGGCTTAAAACTCACGCCGGGCGCGTGTGCATGTGTGTCCAAGATCCCGAGAGGAGAATGGAGGAGAAGGGATTGCGGCGTGATCATCCCCCTGGGGGGTGATTTCTCGCTTTCTGTCTCTATGTCTCTGTCAGTCTGGCGAGCGCAGGCGCCCTATAGCAAAAAATCTCTCAAAAAAAAAAAAATCTTGGGGGATATACTCAGAGCATTTTGTAAAGGAATTTTTAGTATCTACTCCGAGAGGTTAGAAAGAACACATTAAATTTAGAGCCAAAGAAATTGCATGAAAAATAACAAAAAACAGACATAATTTGTTAAAGGTAATAAAGAAGATCACCCAAGCCAAAGGTTTAAGACTCACGAGATTAGTGAGCCACTGGCAAGACTGACCACTAGAAAAGAAAAGGGCTGGCTGAGGCACAGCGGCGGCACGGGCGGACGTGCAGGTGACCCCGTGGAAGACCGTGGGTTCACCACATGCCCATGATCATGACCTGCTGGGACAATTTTTTAAGTTGATAAGCCTCTGGCGAGGCTGACCAAGGAACCAGAGAAAACAGGGTTCCCAGCAAGAACACAGAGGGGGCGACACGCGGGCTGTGGGGGCTGATGGGCACGACAGCCGCGGCACAGCAGGATCCCATGCAGCAGACGCGCGTCACACGTGACGGCCACAGTCGGCCCCGCCCAGCCGGGCTGCAGCGCAGCGAGCACGCCCGTGAGCACCCAGTGTGGACGGGCCGGAGGGCTGGGGGCACGGCCAGGCACACTGCACACGCCTCATCTGAACAAAGGGGAGATGATAATAATACATTATGATTGTCTACTCGCCAACAACCCGACAGGGTATAGGAAATGGGTATTAAAAAAACACACGCCATTTATCAAAACTAGCACGACAGAAATAGAAAATGTGGGTAGGCCTATTTCTGTTAGATAGATAAACACCATAATTAACATGTTACTAAAATGAAAATTCCAGATCTAAATGGCAATCTTCCCAAACACTTAAGGAGAGAAAACAATTACAGTAGCCCTTTCATCAAATAGGAAGCTCTTTCAAGCCCTTGTATGAGGCCATAGATGTGACGCTCAGGCCTGAGAAGAGAGGACGTGCACGAGCCGGGCTCTCTCAGGCGCCGGGGCCGGGCTCTCTCACTCAGGCATCAGGGCCGGGCTCTCTCACTCAGGCACCGGGGCCAGGCGGCAGACAGTGGCAGGAAAGTGCTGGTGTGCACGCAGGGCCTCCCTGAGCGAGCTGGGTGCCCCTGACCTGGCCTGGCCTGGACTGGGGGGGACCACAGTGCTTAGAGATGTTGAGGGTGTCTGCATTTCTCTCTCTCTGTCTCCCATGGAAGATAGAAATACATATAAAAAATAGACACAAAAAATCTTTTTCTTTTTTTTTTTTTTTGAGAGATTTTTGTTGTAGGGCATGTGCACTCTCTAGAGAGACAGAGAGAGATAGAAAGGGAGAAATCACCCCCCGCGGGGGGATGGCCACACTACAATCCCTTCTCCTGCATTCTCCTCTCAGGATTTTGGGCATACACACACAAGTGCACCTGGTGTGTTTTAAGCCAGAGGGTCTAGGACTTGAACCATGAGAGTCCAGCGACAACTATTACGCCATCTGCTGGTCCCAACACACAAAAAATCTGAATACACTTGTACATCAAATCCAGTGACAGAAAAAGTATAACATGACCACACGAGGTTTATTTCAGGGATGCAAAGTTGGTTTGGCATTTGAAAATCTGTCAACATAATCTACCACATTAATAAACTAAAGTGGAAAGCATTATCATAACAAATGCACAAGAAAGTATGTGATAAAATGTGATAATTATTCAAAAAAAAATTCCCAGGAAACCATGAATAAAGGGAGCGTCCTTCAATACAGCACCATCACACTTTGCTGTGAAATACGAGTGCTCTGCTTCAGTCTGGGAGCAAAATAAAGATGTCACTGTAGCAAAACTAGTCAACACAAAGTACTAGCCCATGTAATCGTGCAAAAGGGCAACAAAAGGTATGAAAAGGAAAAAGACTTGCAGACAGTGATTGTGTATACAGAAAACCTACATGAGTCCACAGGCTCATAACATTAGTAAGTTTGTTTAGCAAGGCCACCCAACACCAAATCGATGCACTGAAGTCAATCATATTTCTTTATTTTTGTGTATTTTAAATTTGTATTTTTTGTAAATTTTGTATTTTAAATTTGCCACATGCACTTGCAGGAGAGACATGGAGAGAGAAAGTAAGGAAGCACCCCGTGGGGAATGGTCACAGCACGATCCCTCTCCTCCACTTCTCTTTCCTTTTGAGATTGTGAGCATGCACGCAGGCTCGCCCAGCCTTCTTCTCAAGCCACCAGGCCTGGGACTCAAAGAGCGTGGTTGGCCAGATGGGGTCTAGTCCCCTCAGCCACCATGCCGAGGGCGGCCTTGTGTTTCTATAAGGAAGGAGCAATCAGATAGCCCTCCGACCCACGGGCCACGGCACGGCATGGCGCTCCTTGCACCAGTGTCACTACTGTGAAGAAAGAGGGTCAGCAGCTCTGGCTAGAGGCTGGGCCAACCGCAGGCAGGTTTTCTAGGAGGCAGTGGACTTGAAGGAATTGTGTCTGCAGAATTAGAGCCCAGGAAGTCTGTTCCTTTACATAGTAAATGAGTCTTTCAAAGGCTTCCCAACCCCTGCTCTTTAACCAGTGACTATTCGAGAGAGCTAAATTGGAAGACGGTAGAGTGCACTCCTAGAATTCACGTGACAATGTCTGCTCTGTCAGTACTGAACACCTCCGGATTCCCGCAAGTTTCCATTTCATAAGGATAATTATTTTATATACACTGATGGTAGCGTACAATCAAGTAGTATGAAAAACAAACAAGGTTTAATAAGAAACTAAACCATGTAATCCACAGTAGCATTTCAAAGCATCAAACATCTAGAAGAACACCTAACCAGGACGTCCCGCACACCCACACACTGAGCACCCCACAGTGGTGCGAAGGCAGAGCACTGGATGTCCCCAGGTCACAGACCCAGGACCTAAGTCAGCCTCCTTCCTCCAAGTCGTCCGTAGACTCGAAGTGATCACAAAGAAAATCCCTGCAGATTTGTACGTTTGCATGTAAGTTGGCAATTTTATTTCAAAATGTATATGGCAGTGCAAAAGTTGAAAAGAGTGAACAATCCTGAGGAAGAGTCAGGACTTCCATCGCAGGATGGTAAGACTTACTAAGGAGTACCAGAATGAAATGAGAATGGCACAGAGTAAGGATGGGCTGAAACATCCGCAGACCAGAAAGGGCCCCAAACTAGCCAGAAGCCTGCTGTGCACGAGGGCAGGAAGGAGTCCCAGGCCCTGGCCGGGGAGGAGCAGCTGGGGCTCCACCTGGCTCTGCAGGAAGTTCCCTCTTGTGGGCCGTGGGCCTCCAGTGAGCATGAAACTGAGAAAGAAAGCCTGGAAGCTAGGTTCTACTGCAGGCCGCAACCAATTATTTCCTGAGTGAGACAAAAAGCTCCAAGCCTCGACTAGCCTTCGCTAAATCTGCGGAATTCTTATTAGCAGAAGTGTCATTAGTCCAGTGGACAAGGTCACCACAGGTCACCCTCCAGTGTTTGTGGCAGGTCTGTCTCACAGGGGCACTGCACGCCTGGAACGTGCAAAGAACGCCAGCGCCAGCCAGGCAGCGCGCCCAACCTCAGCGCTAAGGTGCGGGAAAGGGCTCGCTCCCGCCGGCAGGGGCTCCGCGCCGAGGGGTTCCACAGGGAGACGGAGTCCACGCGGGGAGGGGCTCCACGTGGAGGGGTTCCACATGGACAGGGGCTCCACGCGGAGAGGGAACCCACGCGAGGAAGGGTTCCACGCAGCCAGGGGCTCCTCGCGGACAGGGGCTCCTGGGGATACGCGAGCACACACGCCCGCAAGCGCCAGGGGTCGCCACCGCAGCTGGCCGCACCCGCGAAGCTGGATCCCCGGCCGGCACGGAACTGAGCTGAGAGCGCGGGCGCCTTTAACAGCGACCGAGAGCCGCGGCCGCCCCCAGCCGGCGGAGGCGCCCCAGCCGGGCCGCAGGGCAGCCAAGCGGGTGCACCGCGGCGGAGATACTGACTAGTTTCCTCTCTCCTGTCTCCGTCCGACGAGGCGGGCGAGAGCCTCTTGCCCTCCCCTGATTCCATGTCCTCCTCCCACGTCTCGACCTTGCGTCCTCCGGCAGCTGCAAGAGAGGGGACGGTGCGCTTGAGCCACGCGGACGGCGGGACAGGCCGGGCTCTGACGCCGGGTTGGAGGACAGGCCGAGGTCGGG